TCTTTCTCCCTAGTAACACACTAATGGGGATCTCACTATCACAAAGAGACCGGGGCGTCCTTATAAGAGCTGCTATTTAGAGAATAGGTTTCTTCAGTGGGTGGCACAGACAATAGGTCCACGTGACATTACAATCCCTGTGTTCCAATGGTAGCAATACTATTTTAAAATCTATTCCAAAGAACAGAAATTTTTACAAAGAAAATAATTTTTAGAGAAGACAGAATTTGAACTCTCCAAATGCAGATGTTTTGACCAGGTTTTTGGATTCACATATTGGTACAAACTTAGAGCTAATCACATAAACAAAAGCAACATCTTAATTAAACAGATTTATTATATTTTTGCTATAGCTTCAAAAAGTGGTGACATTGGTCAGTTAGTTTCAAGTTCGTAATTCAGCCCCTAATAATAATAACAATAATAAAACAAATCTGGTTTAAAATAGATGTTTGGATGTTTCTTTTAAAAATAGCAGATTGCCCTTATAACAAGCCCATACCCTCCATCCGAGACAATCAAATTCTAAAATATAACTGCAACCATTAGTGCCCATTACAGCCTCATTATCCCTGCTCTGCTACATAGGATCATTTGTGGTACTCGGCACTAAAAGTTGACTCACTGCACTATTTCACTCGCTCATCACTTCCCCACATCCGTACTGGGTGTGTAAGGTATCCCCAGAATACCAGGAGGATGACGCATTAGGGTGTCTACATAAAAAAAAAAAACTAAACAAAGCCCTGACAGAAAGTAGCACAAAAAGATGAAAAGTGGCGTGTGGGCGTGCGGATGCTCGCCTTGTTCCTCTTTTGTTTTAGCTGCCATTTGCTCAAAGACACCATCAACGGATTTTCTGGAGATTTCTTTCAGTCTATTGTCAGTGGTGATTATTTCTGCTGGTTTAAATCCCGACAACACATTTGCAGAGAGAGAGGGAGTGCTTATGTGTGCATTATTGAACAGGCTAAAATTAGAAACAGTACAGCTCCACCGGGCAGCAGCCAACAGCCAGGAACTAAAGATAGAAAAGGTCATCTGTCAGAGCCTCAATGGAGTGATGAGTTATCATTATCAAATTGACTTTCTGCTTGATTGGTGCTCCATTGTAACAGTGGGGCATCGTTGCTATAGTCACTCATAAACTCAGAAAACTGCTATTGAATTCATGCTGGGAGCCATGCAGTAACTGCACAAGCATAAATTGATAGATTGTTTTGTCATTTAGCACCAATGCCCCTAGGAATTGAGCTCTGTTCGGCTCACTGTCCGCCTACACGCCATGGCTATTTTTAGACCGGGTTTCCCTCTAAAATGGTGCAGTGTGCCAGTAATGCGCTGTACATGAACATGAAAAAGCAATATCTGGATTCACTGGAACACAGGACCTCTCTATCCTCAGGGGCTGATCTGGTCCACAAAGGTTTTCCATTGAATTATTGGCTGGGTGTGCTCAAATATAGCAATCATGCATATGTATGACTACTGGTTAGGGGTGTAACTATTAAAATTTTTGTCCAATGATGGAGTGTGTACATGAGAAAATCATTGATCAATATGCTCTGACAGTTATGAGTATGAGGTAGTTCGTATTAATATCCAAGGAATAAAAACTCATTAAAGTTAATGTCACAATTCTTGGAAAATGTATAATTGAAATTGTTCTTTTTAGTCACGGAATAACACTTTTTATATCTGGATGGATTAAAATAGATGGATGTTCACTGCTATTTTTAGCTTCACTGTACACTACATTCTTGCATTTGTTTCTATGGCAACATGATACTGTACATAGTGTCTTCTTTTCATTAGAAAACACCAGAGAGAGAAAAGTTTGCTTGTTTCCTCATGTTTGTTATAAAGATGATAAACAATTATTACATAATTATTTATTTACCAATTTGCCACAGATCATAACAAAGCATACACTGGGGGCATATTATATTACTATTATCATTCAATAATTGATGAACTGAACAATCATTTAAATTCTTGGATGTACAGTCTGTATTTATCATTGGTACTTTTGCCTTATACTAGAGGGGAAAATATTGTTGTCTTGTTTTTCTGCACCATGATAAGATTTGAGCTGTAGAGGGTTGAATGAATAACTTGATGATGACTCATTATAGATGTAAACATTTCATTCTGTTATTAATTTATTGTAGTTCAGGTTTTTCACTCATACTGTATATATGCAATATTTTGGGGGGTAATCCTGTTCAAGGGTTATTGTGTCAGTGGCATACATTCATTTTGATATTATGCTATAATTGTTATAATAATATAATTCATCATCTATATTTCCTTCAGCAATTTATTGCAGTTCGGATTTTTTTGTGGCAGGCCTGGTTAGAGTGGTGGTTTGAACTCCATTTGCCTATTGCATACTGTTGTTCTGTCCTTGAGCAAGACACTTCAACACCTTGTCTCAGTATGTAGTGTGTGTGTGTGAGAGAGGATTAGAGGGACTGATGGTACGGACTGGCGTCATCAATCCATCAATCTACACCAGGGCAACTGTGGCTAGAGTAATAGCGTAAAAGTGAAAAAAATGTGCATTTTCTGTTTCAGCAGAGTATGAAATTAGTAATGCACTAAATTCTAAAACAATTTTGAGCTTCTTTTAAAAACAACATGCATTACTATTATTATTATCATCATTATTATTATCATCAGTATGCATATATTAATAAGTATTTTTATTCTATTAAACCACAAAGAGGAGAAATAGCACGTACATAAGGTCTGTCTATAAACCGCTGCAGCCTCTTACATAAGCCGACATCAGGCTCCATCGCACTTATATGCAAAGTGTTTGTCACACCCATATTTCCTCCTGCGTGAGAATATGACACCTTTCTATTCTTCCCTAGAACTCTAAAAATAGCTTTGGTGCATAGTATCTTCAACAAATACCTCGAAGAATGAACTGTGATCAGCAAAGGAGAGGAGGATAATGGTACAGCAGTAGGTTATGCAACAGTGTGGTGAGCCCCTGTTTGGGACAATGGTGTGAAAGAGCTGAGGTCCTGTGACACACTCAGACTGGGCTGTCTGGACACAGAGTTTTTCCATTGGTCGAGAAAACAGACTGTCTTTCTGTGTCTTGTACGGAGGCTTCCTGGAATTTGTGTCCTCATAAAACTTGTTGCACTTAAGAAGCTTTGAGACCTAGTTGTACTATTCTCACAGGGAATGATGTCAAAAGTACACGCTTGGTATTGGAGGGTATTTTCCAGTAATATGGAGAAACTTCCAGCACTAAACTGACCATTTATTTTAAGAAAAGCTTCTTGGTTCTTAGCTCAACACCTCTGGGAAAATGACTCCCTATCCATGGAGTTAAGACTTTGAACATTGTCACGAAATATATTATACAACAATTTAAATTTAGTTTTATCTGAAAGTTAATTGACATATTTTTAAATATCTCAAACTATAGCCTACAATGCAATATTGTCCACTAATTAGCTGAACACATAGATTAGAGTTTTGAAGGATTTTCAGAATGGAACAGGTAGATCACAATAAAGTTAGTAGTAAATTGTATAGTTATTTTAAATCTAATTGACAATGAGCTCTATAAAACTGTATATTTAAATATGGCATCATTATCATCTGCCATCACGTTAAATTGTATGTTTTTCATACTTTATTCTTAGTGTATGAAAAAAGATATTTAGGTAATGTCAGGGTGAGTACATGCTTTTTTCAGATTGCTTGAATACCAAAAAAAAACAAACCCACAAAGGTAAAGTCAGTACAAATCTATGTTATTGTAATGTTTAGTCTTTTAACATACTGGCCCAATTTAAAGTATTGCCACCACAGTAATAGCTATATTAGTCCTAGTTTGGAGAGAGATAAGGGGTTTTATTGATTGTACTTGATAAGTGTTACACCAGAGCTGGCATAATGTTCTTGACTGTTCTACCAGAGCTCAGAGCAGTGGCAGACTGTGCAGCATAAATCAACTATGATAATCTCCTCACCCACCTCCTCCTACCGTGAACGCTTATGCAACTTTGATGGAAATTAGAATAAAGCTGAACCTTCTACTAGAAAATCTTGTAAGAAAAATTAAGTATAGTCTGTGGACAATGTGTACTTAAAGGTTCACTAAACTTTTGAAGTAAGAGTCTTTCATCTGCTTGTCTTGTGAAGATGCTGTTACTTTGGAATATTTCAAAGTATGGCACTAAACTTCTGTCTTCATGGAGACAAGCAAGAGACACCAAAAAGCCATGTTACAGGAAAGGTCTGTGGAGAGGTGACCCCACACACAATAAGAATACATGTTTTTAAGGTCATTTCTTGAAACAAAGAATCTGTAATTGAAAACATGTAAGATTGATACGTAACTCATAGAGTGTATATATAAATGGACGTAGCTAATGTGCTAGCCACTGCATTCTAAATAGTAAGTTAGCATGGGGGCCCTTCCCTGGCTCCACTTGACTTAAATTGGAATACTGTGTAAAATGTTCATATTAACCCACTCCACATGATCCTCGGGTTTTTATTTCGCTATTTTGTCTGTTAACAAATTCCTACTCCTAACATGGAGCTTGGCTCTAAATTCGTGCTTGTAACAGTTAGTAGCTTCGTGACCTTCATTTGAGCGGAGCCGAACACTATGGGTGACGTCACACTTGCTTACTTGGCTTCTTTATACAGTATATAGTTTAATTTCATACTCTGGCATGCAATAGCAGACACCTTTCTAGTTCAGTTGCATAGTGCCCCTTAAATATGGCCAATTACAAATGGCAATTTTACCTTTTTTGAAAGTGTGTGTGACAAAAATTCCTAGTTTGTACATGACGTCGGCAGAGTAAGTTTCAACTAATTTATCAGTTTCAATATAACAGCCAAATTTACCACTAATATAGTAACAATTACTACTACTCCCACTTCCGACTTCCTTATTGGACTATGTGGGTTTTTCACTCTCCAAACCCACGGATGGACACATGGTGAATACTAGAACTTACTTGGCAAGCTTCATCTCGATCTGTTGGCGTATTTCTTGGCGTTCTTGGTCGCTACGTGCAGGGAAAATGTTCCTGTCCTCCAATTCCTGTTTGCTGGGTCGGTTTCGTAGTTTCACAGCCAGTAGCTCCTTCCTTAACCTGCGAGGAAGTGTGCCTGCACCAAACATGAGAAAAGTTTAGCTGCAAATAGGAGACTTGTGATAGATGTGTGAAGACTCAAAGCTGCTCATAGCACCAAGAATTTGCAGAATATACAAACTTACACTCAAAACAAAAACAAGAAGTCCATTTGTAGCAGTGCAAATACATCAGAAAGTCATATGTTTCATGCTACATCACTGATTATTAGATCTAGGTGCACAGCATTAAAATGAACAGTTAATGTTGTAAGTATTAGTAACACTTTTTAGAGTGTCAGAACTGAAAACTGTGAAATTTGTTTTGGGATAGAGAATAGGATTGTGAGTAAACAGTACTGCTTTTATAGTAAAAGAAGGCTTAATTCTGTTAACTAGACAACTTTTTAGAATGAATACATTTCATCCAAGCATCTTTTTAAATATCTTTCTGAACAGATGGGCTAAGTACAATGCAGTCCTAGCTGTTTACAGTAAGAAGTATCTGTTATTAAGTTAGTATATTGAACTACTTAAGTGCAACTTAAAGTGAACTTAAGTGAAAACTGTTGCTTGTCATATATTGCATCATATGAGTCAGGTGACAATTGAAAAAGCTACTTGAATGAGTAGGCTTATTATTCACTCTGAAAACTGTCCACTTGAAGGATCCTGCCTTGACAACTGAGGCAGGATTAACAAAGGGTTTAATAACATTCTCAATAGTTTTAGTTTGATATTAACGATTGACCAGTGATAATTATCAGTGTTTACAAAATTGAGAGTTGTAGGTACATTTCCACTCTTATATAGGGCAGCTAGAACCATATGGTATTAATCCACATAATAGTTTATTTTTACAAATTTCACAGTCAAAATAGTTTACTTTGCATTTTTCTTTATCAAGAGAACACTTCACAAATATGCAGTAAACTGAAACCCCTGAATACAAACCAGAGATGACGGACTCGTTCCAGCTGTCCAAGTCAAAGGGCAGGCCTGAGGTGATGGAGAAGCAATGGTCCAGCCGAACGTTCTCCTTGTTCTCCTCCGCCTCCTTCTTGGGCCAGTCCGACCCCCCAATACAGCCTCCGCCCATAGGCCCCGAGTGCTGGTTCTCAGAGCTGCAGGAGCGGGACAGCCGGCCGTCCGAGCACCACAGACTCTGTTCACATCCCTCATGGACACTGGGGAGGTAAAAATTATTTGATAAATATTATACTAGCCTAACATTTCAAAATTATAGGTTGAAGATACTGATGATTTATGATTTATTTTGAACATGCATAGAAAAAATTTATCATGAGAAAATAATGAAGGCAATAACATCATCTGATGCTGGTGATCACATACGCCATAAAGAAACCCAACAAATAATGATTCATAAAGTTATATCTAAATAAATACATACATGTTCAAAAAGGAATGGGTCGAAGTATACACGGACTTAGTCCCACCCTTTTCCCCAGTGTTCAATAACAACTGATATCAGTTGATGCATTGTTATTTTATGTAAACCTTTTTCATGCAATATTATTACATTTTTTGCTTTAGAAAACCTCTAAATCTTTGTTTTTATAATTAGTTTTAATACACATTCCTTTAATTACTGGCAAACTGTTCCATAGTCATATTCCACATACCATACCACTAAAGCTTTTTTTAGTTGACCACATGCTCACGGATTTAAAGTAAATTTTGCTTCATATTATGAACCCTTTCCCTCTCAATAAAACTTTGTGGGCAGTAATAAGGCTATGATTTCCTCATTCCTGGTTATGTATTGGCATTCCTGTAGTAATCTATTATTACTAAATGAATTCTAATAATAACCCAGACACCATTTAACTAACTTTGTAATCTGCCTCAGCAGTTCAGTGTTTCTATAACATGATTTTCTGTGTTTTGCCTCACCTCTCTTGTCTGTTCTTAGAGGCAAATGCTCTTTGCAGTTCCTCCATGATGCAGCTAGGGGGCATGGGAGGGTGGATCATGTTGAGGTGTGGGGAGCCTGAGGGGTTGCCAAGGGGCCCTCTTAATGGCAGGGGCATCGTCACCATGGTTTCAGGGGGCCGGGGTGGTGGCTCTTTGGGCTGGAGGTAGGAGTTTGGCAAGTGTGTGGGCAGCGACATAGGGCCAGGGTCTGTTAAAAAAGAGATTTAATATGAAATTCAGAAATGCTTTAAAATAAGTGAAGTCGATAACTGAATGAGGCCCACCTTCCCCTGAGCTGTGCTGGGACACTAGTTTGGGAGGTACTTGTGGAGGTGATATTCCTGTTGTTACTTCCTGCTCTGCTGGATCCTCTCCAGGCTCGGCCCCATCTTGAAGCCCATCAGAGAGCTCTCCCACTGGGTGCAGCTCGTCACCCCGGGCCTCCTCTGGGAGAGCCATGTTCTCCTCCACACAGCCTCCATCCTGCAGTGGACTGCTCACTGCAACAGGCATAGAGCAAGTACTGAGACAAAGAGTACAGTAAGGCCTAACATGTTTAGCCTGATATAAAAGAATGGTGATGATGTAAACAACTATACAATTTGGCCAGACAAAATATCTAACAGTGGCATTTTGCGTAGTTTTCAGCTCAGCTTCCACTCATGAATTTGTTTCTCTAATATTGTTGGTGTTTACAGTTTTTAGTTAAGTTTAAGATGCACTTGGTGAAGGAAAATCAGCTGTGTTACATGCACAATTGCCCCACAATCCTGATGTGATATGGTCCAGCTCTAAAGAGCATTACTGTGGTAGAGAGGAGTGGGGAATGTCAGTCCAACATAAACACATATACTACTTCTGGTCTAAAACCATCTGGAAACATGACAAAGCCATTGTTTCATCACAGACCCACAGTTACAGTAACAGATTATTTTCATACCCTTTTGTGCCACCTCCTCCGATTATCAGCGCAGCAAGCTGTTGCTGCCTATTATATAATATAGTTTGTCATAAACAATATGAAATATACTCTGAATAAATAAGTAAAGCCACAATATTTTTCTCAGAATCAAATAAAAGCATGTTTTTCATTTTGATTGTTTTTGTACCGAAAAGATCACACTTTGTGTGAGTGGGCTTGCCTCTCCAAAAACCTGACTCTTATTTAACCTCAGCCTGCTTGTTTCCATGGAAATGTCGTTCCTTTAGCTATAATATTCCATAGTATGTCATAAACTTATGTCCATGGAAAATGTTCAGAAGTATGGTTTTAACTTTCATACAGGTGACATGCCACCTCCAGAAAGCTACATACTGTGCCTTTAAGAGTAATGAAAATGGGCTTTTTCTAAAGCCGTAAAAATACTATATTTTAAATCTTATTCAGCGCCACTGTTGCACTGCCTGTTTACACTACTGTATGCGAGGAGTACATTTTATTCTCTTGTCTCTGCTGCCCTCTATTGGTCACAGAGCAGAGCATCTTTGCCAGTCGTCAATTTAGTCTCAGTTAATATTATACAGTAATATATATATAATGTGTGCATCATAATATTTTGCATTAACACCACTTTAAACACACTTCACACACTCTATTTCTGCTTTGTTTTGTTTGTCTTGTTTAACTTTGACTGTACCTGGAGAGAGATGGTTCTCATCAGGTCCTAGATACTCCACACTGCTTACTGTGAGGTTAGCACCCAGAGGACCCCCAAAGCCCCCGAGCAGGACCGTCCCATCTGAGCAGCAGCCCTGGGTCGGCGAGGAGGAGTCATGGCACAGAAGACTGCTGGATAATGCTACATCTGTAAGAGAGGAGATGGTCAGTGTCTATTAACTACACATGCATAGCTAGCTCAGCAGTCAGTACAATGCGATTAGAACACACAGCTAATCGAATCATGGGCTGTGTCAGAAACTACGCCCCATTTACAAAGTGGTCAATTATATTATAGTGATGAGGCCACTTGGAGCAGTGGTTTCACATACCACCACCTGGGATACTGGTCTTTAAATGCATTTACACATCTAGGCCTGACACTACTATAAAACCAGATTATATGAACTTTTTACTGTTGTGCAATATAAATACATGCCCTTTTTTTTATTTGTTTACACAAAAGTTATGAAGAAAATGCTCATATAACAACATAGTATATATGGTGTAACTTCCTTTTGAATAGGAAGAGTAAAGACACTGACAAGATAAGAACAAATTGAAGTATTATTGAAATGTATGCATTTTTATAAGATACTCAGACAGTCATGAGGTGAAATATATGGCATAATTTTCCATTCTGCATGAGGCTATAGCAGACCTATTAAGTCATTATTGATGCATAGGACATCTTGTACTCTATAATCTACCTCTTTATTAGCATCAATACAAACACTCCTGCAGGATCTGTCTGTTTTATTCACTCACTGCTAGCTTCTTCAGCTCATTGCTTATTCGTTATAGCACAATGAATTGGTGGATGATTCACACAGCCCACAGAATGACACAGGAAATGAACATTCTTTTCATTTGGTGTAAAATAGTCTTTACTGGGGGACAGAGTATCTCATTTATGTGACTGGGGATCCGGAAGGTTCCCAGGAAACCGAAGGGAGCATGAGTCAAGAAACATTTGCCAAGGTATAATCATGGTGCCGAAACAGGCGCTAATACTGTATCAAGTTCCCATAACAAATTAATGAATTACAAGTTAATGATAGGTGTTTAATACTGGCATCCAGTTAAGCTGTTAGAGAATTAATTTGAAGTCTTTGTAATAGTTTTAAAAGGGGGAAATTAGCTCAGTGACGTATTGCTGGAGTTTTCTGTTGTTAATTCAAGTTCACGTCCCCTGCACTTCTCCATTCACTTCTGCACTTCTAATTTGCAAATATCACTTAGTGTCATATTACTTTATCTAACCTTAAAGGTTCATTCTATCTCTATTTCTCTCAAACATTTTTAATAGAGGGTTCACCACCTGCGTGTCTCCATAGAGGTGATATTACTTTGCTTTGAATCTTCCACAGTATGGTTTTAAACGTATTAATCTTGCATTTATTCACATGTGTTTCTATTGTTAAAAATAGAAATTAAAACATGCCTTCTTACTGTGAGCAAGCTTTTTAGAAATCTGACCTGTAACTTAGCATGATGGCATCACCTGCTTGTTTCTAAAGTGAGTTATATCATTTTAATACCACACTTTGGAACATTATAAGCAAAGCAATAACATCTTTATGCAGACAAGCAGGCGGCGTATAGTGTGTCTATAAAGGAAATTAAGGCAAGTTGCAAATATTCATATCCACTTTTTTACAGAAATAACAAAACTGGTAAGTCCTGGTGTCATTTGCTTTAAAGTATTCCTTACTCCTTACTGTATGAGATAAATGTGGTCACACCTTTACACTGCATGGGGTCTTGTACTTGTATTTCATACTGACAATGCAAACACATTTTTTTACAGAAAACACATTACCTGTAGAACTCTGTTTGAGCTTTTCGTTTTTCTTTTTTCTCCATTTCCAGGGCTTGAAGAGGCGTCCTAACGTGGCCAGCTTACTGTTTCTTCTGATTGGTGGAGTGTGCACCCCCGTCACCAGGCATCCCGTCCTTAGCACCCTCTGCTGGTCGGCTACCTCCACTGCAACGACAGGTGAAACAACAATGAACTGGTGAAACCACTTGCCACAAATTATGCAAAATGAAATATTAATGTAATGGGGAAGATATTCTATTTAAATAAGCACAAAAGGGAAAGTGAAACGACAATTAGTTGGTGCTGAATAAACCATTATGTACTCCAAACGCAGCGAACAGATTGAATTAAAAAGGCTAATCTGATCAAGGCACTCTGTCACAGCTATTTCTTTCCTGTGAATACTCTCGCCTGGAGGCATATATCGCATATCAAAATGAATTCATCTCAAAGTCCAAATGCGGCACAGAGAAACATGACAGCACAGTGGTGGAAAAGTGTATTATTAGACAAAAGAGACAGAAGAAGAGGAAGATTTCCCAGAAAACAACAGGTGTGGTCCCAGCAGCAGTGATGAAGCAGGCTGCAGAGGGACACTGTCATGTTTTATTTATAATGTGGGTATTTGTGTAAAGTGAACCCCAAAGCAGTAAAAAAAAAAAAATTACAATATGAATTTGACACACTATTAACAAAGCAGAAAAGAGAGATAATTTACCTTGAGAACTGAAAATGTTAGGAAACACATTGAGGTTGCTAATGTTAAAAATGGTGTGAGATGGTGTAATCCCTCATAGGTCTTTTTTGTATAAAAGGTTTGGACATTGTATTTAAAATCAAGACATTTCAGTGCCAACCCAGAAGCCAATTTCAGTTTGATGGTACTGCTCTGAGATACTGGGATTTATACTGCTCAGAATTAGATAAGTCCTGCCATAAGGGAGGAATTTTAAAGTGAAACTGCCCTGAAGTTGTTTACAAGCTTGCCTCATTATGGGCCATTATACCCCATGGTAATTTGTCTGACTCATCTTCACCACTGTTAACTACCTGATTAGGCTATCAAAAGGCTACTCAATGAAATGTTGTAAGTGAAATAATTAGGCTATAATTCTATAAATATTATGTTGTAAGTGCATACTTTTACCACACAGGACAAAATATTAAGCTGCACTAGTTGTAATGGCAGAAGTACTGATAACGATACAGGAAGACAAGAAGCATAACAAGAAGTACTGATACTTGTGGTATCAGTGGAATTATTTCTAGAGGCAAAAGTAATTAGTATCAGTAAAGTGTTGCCTGAAGAGCAAGTAGACTATTTTATGTGGCGATGTAATCCCTCATTTATCCAGGAGGGGTCCATGGTTTGAAATGAGTCATTCAAGCCCAAGGTGTTTTGATTCAGTAAAAATGTACCCCATTACACTAGCACTTTGTGAATTGACAATGATGACCAAATGTCCAAATGGAAGTTGAAACATTCTGATCTTAAAAACAGTGTCCAGATAACTACATATGAAGTATTTTGTGCAAAAATGAATATATACTATAATATATATTTTTACTCTTGTATTCTGAAGTCCTTGAGTAGAGTCCACATCTGTTTAGATTCTGTGGAGCTTTCTGTCAGGGATGTGCTGCCTGTCTGCAGTGATCATAATCCTTTGACAGTGGTATTCAAAGCCACAGACAGCCAAGAGAGTGAACTGTCAATCAAAGCTGTCAGTCACTCCCACTGTCTGCCAGAATATCAATGCAAGCGCAGCGAAAGAACAAATGATACAGTGCAACCATTAGACAAGATGGAGGATTTGTGTGCAATACATTAGAATTGGAATAGCACTTCTAAGTGTTAGCAGATACAGTAAATATTGAGAGACAAGCAATGCGCTGTCTGCAAGATGTCATGGAATTTGTTGTTTTTAATTTATGTATGTTAAAATATGAAGTTTAGTCTATTTCTATTAAAAACATCAAAAATTTGAAAAGAGCTGATTCAAAATTAAAGGAAAAAGTACTGTAATATGATTCAAACCAAGGTGTAAAGGTAATACGTAATATGTTTGAGCATATTTCTGATAAACTTGCCCAGAATCCAGTATACACACTTCTTCAAGAGTCTGGTCACTGATGAATCTTCCTGTTTTCAGATGACTGTGATTGGCAGATGGATTAGGCAAGCACATGCATTGTCCACAGATTTCTGCAGAATTAATGACTGAACTAAAGTTGATTTTATTTGTAAATGATGGGTGACCAAAAATAATCTGTCTGAACGCTCACATTTAATTGGGCAGGTAGCATGATGGAGGATGTGAGGAACACACTGATATAATTCTGGATCTGTCAGATACACCCTTACTTGTCTCACAACGAGGAAATGACAGAACTTAAAAGAAAATCAAATCCAATTCAAAACATTCATTGAGATATCTGACTCACTGTACATGCCCATCTCTTTTTTTTTTTTTTTTTTTCCTATTCAGACGTTTGTCCACATTTTAACAAATCAGGAGCAGCATGCAAACCAACAGGAAATGCACAATAAACAGGATGCATTTGGGAGCTACATGCGTCACCATAACACAAAAAGAGGTTGATATCTTTGTTCAAAAATCCAACCAAAGAGCCTGTGTACAAAGTGAGGGTGTAGGAAGAGGAAAGGCTGAAAGCACGATGTACAGTGATGGAGGAGGGCGGATACTTGAAGACTAAGGATTTTTTCTCTCCTCCAGCACATAAGAACCCCCATGTTTTCCCCAGAGCACACAGACAGGGAGCAGAGAGAGGCTTCAGGGAGTGATTAGAAGAAAGAGCAAGAAACAGTGCTGTGTTATATAGATCTACTGTATACAGGCAATTGCCAAGCGCAAGAGTCAATGTGGACTAAAGACTAAAGACTCTACAATCCAAACGTGGAAACTCATCATTTCTTTAGCTGCATAAATGATTCATAATTTAGACAACTTCTTGAACCATACCACAAAAATGTCAATATTAACTAGGGATGCTCAATACATTGCAATGAAAAATCACTCGTCAGAAAAAATGCAACTTTTTTTCTTTTTTTTTCAAATTTCATATTTAATAGCTTTGTTGTCTCAGTTAATTACACACTATGAGCAATCTGATCTGTAAGTAATGTGATGTGATCTATGCCATTCTGTTTTGTTTTTTTTTTTTTTTTTTTTATTAAAACATATAAGAACTATTATTTTACAGTCTGAAGCATAAATTATATTGGTCTACTGTATAGCATAAATAGCTTCCTGTCTTTTTAAATATTATATAGAATAAAAATGAAATCATTTGCAATCCCACACAAGCTACTGTAAAGGGGTTTCCAAATGCATCTGTGTAGGGGTTTTCTCACGTTTGTGTTGTTGTCCAACTCATAAGCAGAGTGGTATGAAACATTCTTTTAACTATGAGAAGAGAGAAAGAGTAAAGAGAAATAGTCTTTAAAGCCCAGTAAGCCCCCCTTCCTCCCTCCGCTCTGTTTGATGTACGACTTTAAACTTCCTCGAAACCTCCTCTTTTATTTTGTCTGTCTCTTGGAGGAGGCAGCGTGGCAGACGAAGCAGCGCGCAGAATCCGAATCAGGTCAGGCTTAAAACCAAAGGAAGCGCTCTCTGTCGCCACGGAGACACAGAGCCGGGGGGAGGGGGAGGAGAGCCGCCGCCGCTGCTGCTGCTGCTGCTACTGCTACTGCTGTTACCATGACGACTACATCCAGATGCAGCGAGGGGTGAGTGAGAGAGACCCCCCAACCGATCAGCAGCAGCAGCAGCCGGCGACAGTCACCTCTGAGCGGCCAGTGGCAGCAGCTGGTGCATTGTGGGTAATCTGGGAAGGTGGCAAAGACACGGTGGAAGGGGGAAGGAAAAAGGGGGGGGCAGTGAGGAAGAAGGGGGTTTCCAGTGAGAAGAGGAGAGGAGGCGGCGAGGGAGGGGTGATGGGGGGGTTGTTGCTATACGGAAGAGAGAAAAAAGCTCCCGTCCAATCAGAAGGCAGCTATTTATAATGCATATCAAGTAACTCTTCATTTTTCATTGAAGGGTGTTTGGGGAATGACAGGAGGAATCTGGGTGAAAAACACATGGAGATTTGTTGTTACACCACAAATACGAGCGCATGAATGGCCGACCATGTGGCAGAGAGGATGCGCAGGTCTAATTAATATGGTAATTCCAATAGGATTTATTAAAGCCATGTGTCATGCTGTTGCAGGGGACCGCTAATGCATCTCTTCTGCATTTGCTTCCACTGGCACTGTTAGACCAGTCAGGTGGTGCTTTAAAGCCGTTTATAGGATAGAAAATATATTCCCAGTATAGCCAACAGAATAGGACTGTGTAAACATGAGCAATGGGGGCAAATACAGGTCACAAATGCCACATGGTTCTGGTGCAGAGAGAGTGATTTAGGGGAGGACATAAAGGAGGCAATTTCATAATGTGAGTTGGCAACATGAACTCAGTGACCACACCTCATCTACCCAGGCACTGTACAGCCTCTCCCCAGCAGCAAAGGTGATGCTCCAGACAGCACATTTAAGCCAATATTATCAAAAAGACCATATATTAAAGCTGCTGAGCTTAACTCATAGACCGCTGAATAAGCAAATATTCTGGTATTTGGTATTCAGACTGTTATAGATTCTAGCGCTGTAGTTCTGTATTCATTTAGTCAATTCATTTGTATCTTAGTCAACCATATCTTTTATTTATTATTGTTAATAGGATTTATATGGACCACAGGAGAGAGGAGGAAGCATGGAGGGAGTTAGCTGGAGTTTTGGGAGTAACTGGACAATTTGCCTTTTAAATCAGCTGTTAGTAATTCTATGTAGTTGGTTTGGTGCGAGAATTTAATAATTCTGACAGATTTTGCCAGCACCTCACACCACAGCTCCTTCTAGCGCACTTTGTTCAACCACAGCCCTAATATATTCAGTTCAATTTCAGTCATATGTAGGTTACATTCATGCAAGGTCACTACATTGAAGGAAGGAGCCTTATAGTATTAATCAAGGTTTTGGGTAAGCTGAAAACGGTACACACATGCAATCTGACAATGATTTATTGGAAATATAATTAAAATTGTGTATAATATAATTACTGTGTTCAGTAATAACAAAAAAGAGTATCAATACAGGCAGT